AAGGTGAGGGTTTACATATACTTGAAGGCTAAGCCCTCACTGTTTATATGTTTATGAAAAATATATTACCAAGTACCCAACTTCGGTCAAACATTTTGTTTTTGATTAGAGATGGGACGTTTTCCCTCATAAGATGTCCCTTTGTCCACGCAAATAAGGCAAAACAGTATTTATGCTACAAAGATATAGTATTTATTATTTTTCAAATGTATTTATTTGGATAATTGTGTCCCTTTATCTTTATCCCATGACACTTAGAAGATGGGAAAAAGTGGAGAAAACTGGAAAGAAGAGTGTGACATATTTAATATGTACTGTGAAAGATATGTATAAGTATGAAATAAATCTGAATTGCATACATGTAATGCATTTTGTTCATAATGTTTTACATTTTAATAATGTTTGAATGAATTTTACGTGCATAATGTTTTAAATGGTACCGTTTGACCTTTTAACAATATTTAACAAACATTTATAGATTAAAATATCAATTTCAGATTCATTTAGTCATAAAGTAATGAGCTACTTTAAGAAAAGGCATCACCCATCAAGGTTAAAGCCATTAGTTTCAACTATATGAAAAAATAAATGGGTAAAAATGAAACTTGTATCCTCAAAACTCCTAGTTAAACCAAAGGACAGCACAAAACATTTAAAAAAGGTGTGATTTGATTAGCTCCAATAAAAGAAACTTGATTAACATACTACTACGCATTACTTAAGCCAGCCATAGGTGAGGCGATTTTCTTTTTTGCAACCATGAGTTGTAGGAAAGAAAATCACTCGAATACCCCATTAACACTGACTGGCTGAATCCCTCTCCCATAGCTGTTGTGTTCTCCCTGGGGGGGGATGTGGCAGGGGTGGTTGTAGGTAGGAGCTGTCCCTGCCAGGAGAATACATCGATTATTGCTAGCAGCTATAGCCTCTGACAATCACATGAAAAAAAAATCTGACAGGCTGGTTGTACACGAGTCATAACAATCGATTTTGGGTACAATCAGCCTGCACATAGATGGTTTGAACCTCAGCCACTCCCTGCTGAACTGGCCGAGATTCGAACCAGCTTTGGCCAGCTTTATACATACAAAGGTAACCCTATTTTTACTGAGAATGATAATTTCTCCCCTTCTGGCTACCAACTCACTTTGCAAGAGGTCATTTAAGATGCTGAGCTTCCTAAGTGGGGACATGAATATTCCTATGGCAGGCCTTCACTCAGTTGGGTCTTGGGTAAAGCATGAGGTACTCCTGACTAATATATCCTTGTCCCCAAGTAGATTAATTTACTTAGAAACTGGTGTCCAAGACAGAACCTTCAGAATCTAATCATTTTGTTCACAGTCTCAGAAGGCAAGGGGCCCTAAGGACATGGGCTCCAGCCCAGCATCCTACAGGCACAAGCCTGCATGCAAAGGACCCTTCCAACTTGCTTACATTTTTTCATTTTGGATAGAGCAAGGGAGGGTTATAACCCCTGTCAGATTTTTGTTTTGCCACCTGTGTCCCATTTCAGAGATTTTTCTTCACTTCCGGTTCCACAGCCAAACAGGAAGTTAGAGGAAATCCTTGCAAATTAAGAAAATCCCTTGGGGACCCCCAGGTCACCAGAACTAGTGCCACCATTGGAAGATTTTTCCCTCTATTACTTTTCTGCAGACAAACCAAAATTTGAGATTTTCTTTACTTTCAGTGATAACAGCAAACAGGACAAATAGAGAGGGTGAATCTCCTCAATGGGGACACAGACAGCAATAAAAACTGACAGGGGTTCCAATTCCTCTCAATGCTATCCAAAGCTAAAAAAAAAAAAAAAACTCTTGCGCAGCTTATTGTTGACAAATGCTTCAAAGATTGGCCATCTAACAAACACCCAAGCTACATTTTTAATATAGCCCTCTAGGTTCTAATCAAAGGAGGTTGGAAAATGATGCAACAAATAGGGCATAGCAAGTTGACAGAGACTTTTACAAAACAAAAAAAAACCCAAAAGTGCTTAAAATTATATTAAACCCTCCATGTAAAGCCTGATATCCACACTGTTTTATGTCTGTTCTCTTTGCAGTCTCTAACTTTTTTTACATTTTTGTTTCTGATATTACTGTCTTTATTTCTATTTTTAGGGTGGCTCCACCGCTTTGCAGGGTCCCCTGGAACTCAAAAGCCTGGGGATGCAAGTCAGTCCCCAGCTCCTTCTCTTAAAAAGTGATTGGCAGCAGCTTCAGTGACAGTGCTGGGTGCTAGTAATAAAAAATCAAATGTATTATACAGTATGTGGCATGCTTGTAGATGGTAAAACAGATTCACCTCATTTGTGATTGTTCTCAGGTTGTTTAGTGAATACAGTACTTTGGTCACGTGACCTTTTTGAGACAGTTACTGTACGCATTTCCCAACTGGAAGTTCAAGAAAGTCATACTGAAAAAGTAAGCAATTAAAGGAGAAGTACAGCCAAAGCTCTTTGACTGTACTTCTCCTGTGGATCACAGGAGTGCAGAACGAACCTGAAGAGCACTGTCGGCTGACGTCACTCAGCCGTTGCAGGCTAGGGAAAGTTCCCAACTTTAAAGCCAGGGATCCACCCCAGAGTCTGGACTGGAGCGGCACCTTGTTCAGCCTCTCAGTGTGTGGTCCCTCCCCCTCCACAGCCTAGCCCTCCTTTGAATGCGGTGGGGGCTTAGAGCACAAAGCCAGAGACTGATGGTCATCGCTCTCTGCTCAGAGTGGCGGTGAGAACTCAGCGATCAGTGGTCATGAGATTGCTGAGTTCTCACCCTTAGAGCCGACATGGGACAGATGCAGCATCGCACCAATGCTGCATCCACCTAGGTAAGTATAGTTGGGGAAAAAAATATCCCATATTTCTCTTTTAGGTATGTATTTAAAAAAATGTCAGGGCCATGAAAAAGAAAAAAGGGAAAAGACCCCATGGGGTAGTCACCCCTATCACCCATTTGTTTTTTTTTTTATATAAATTTCACTCTTAATAGAGTGCCTGCTGTTGCTAGGAAGATTTACCTCAGCTGCTGAGCACTGGATTGGTGACCAATCTTTAGGCGGTAAGTATCTATGTCAGGGTCCTGTCCACGGCAGGAGTTCTGGAAGATCTGGCATTTCTGCCAGTACTCTACATGGCTGCAGAAGTACACATCAGCCTCAGTCTGGTGCCATACAGGCTTTATAAGGAGGTTCATCACTTCCTCTAGTTGCTGGATGATCTCTAGCTCCCCGTGCCCTGTTCCTATTTCCCGTGATTCTGACTTGTGATTTCCTGTTACCTACTCGGCTTGCTCCTGGACCTGTCTACTCTGATTTAACCCTGCTCTGACCTCGGCTTGGCTTATGGATACTCTCTCTCTGTGAATGACCTCGGCTAACCCATCTGACTACGTCTGCTCTGATTCCCACCTGGTACCTGACCTTGGCTTGAACCGACTACCCAGTAAACATCCAAATCCCGGAAGGGCTTGCATACCACGCACAGGCGCCTCCTGTCTGCAGACTTATCTCCGTGCACCAACTGTGCTTCTGAGTGGACCACCAACCAGCACTGCTACAGGCGACCTGTGCAACTTTTGGGCCAGACTCCCACTGTCCCACTCTCAGGGGAGTCTGGAACTTAGCCACAAGGGAAGCCCTCTCTCCATCGGCCTCCATCGCCAGGTACGTGATAATCTAGCCAATGAGTGTAAACTTTCACTTCTATCCTCTCCTGTCACTGGGCGGTGTCAGTATTTACCTCAGGTCTGTCAGCTGGACTCACCTCTGCATTCTCCTCAGCCTTCCTTCTGGATCTTTTGACCTGCTCTCCCACCTTCCCTCTCCTTTGTTAATGTTTCCCTTGACGCGGTCCACCTTTATGTGGGGTAATGTCGCCCACTTTGTGGGTGGACAGGGGTTGGTACGCTGTTATTTGGTTGGTATAAGATATTGCTGCTTGAGTCTTGGTGACTAAGCATGTTGGTCTGTTATTGGTTAACAACAGTTCTTTTTGATATTGAAGGTCCATCTTTATGAGGTAACGTCGCCCACTTTGTGGGTGGACAGTGGTTGGTAAACTATTATTTGGTTGGTATAAGATATTGCTGCTTGAGTATTAGTGACAAAGCTTGTTGATCTGTTAACCTCCCTAGCGGTCTGATTATGTAAATATTTCTGTGCTCAAAGTGGTAATTTTTTTTGCATGGAACTATGTTGTTTTTTTTATTGTAGGCCTGTAATTCTTAGGAATAACTCACTGAAATTTGTCCGAACAAGAGTATGGTAAACATCCCGGGTATGATAAAATTTGAAACACAAAATCATAATTTATAATATAATTAATAATCATAAAAAATAATAATATAATAATAAACTTAATACAATAATGTAATCAAACCAAAAACACAGAAATTTGAAATAGAGCGCCAAGTGCGCACATCACTGAGCTCAGTCACAAAATCGTTTTCAGTGTCTGATGACGAATTTCCCCAGGAATCACAATTGCTCAATTCTGCAAGTGGTTCTAATTCACTATCGCTGTATTCTAGCTGGTCTAAAGCCGCTTTTGACCTAAAGGGACACTTTTTGGACGCCATGGACGTTTCTCAGTTGCCAGGCGGAAAGAACAGTAAAAAATGCAGGCAGGGCACAGGACAAAGCACTAGGGACAAAATGTATGTGAAATGGTTTGATACAGTAATGTTATACTATGAGATTTTAGTGTATTGAGTGAATGTCCCTTTTAAAATTTTTGAATTTCTTGCAGGTTCCATCCCCCGTACATCCTGACGTTCGCAGGGAACGGAACCCGGAAGACGGATGCCGCATCGGCTGGAGTAGATGGCCGTAGACGCTGCAGAGGGACATCGCGGGAGCGAAGAACAAGGTAAGTACAAGAGGGAATCCTTGAGCAACGCTGCAGGGTAATCCTGAGTGTAGCTCGAGGTTACCGCTTTGGTACTGAAAGTTAACCCCGAGCTACACTCGGGAATACCGCCACAGAGGTTAATGGTTAACAGAGGCTCTATTTTGTATTAACCTCACTGGCGGTATTCCTGAGTGTAGCTCGGGATAAAGTTTCAGTACCACAAGCGGTAACCCCGAGCTACACTCGGGCTTACAATGCGGCGCTGCTCCGCGATCCCTCGGTCACTTACCTTTTCCTGCGCTCCCGCGATGTCCCTCCTGCAGTGTCCCCGGCAATGTAATCCGGCGGATGCTGGCATCTGTCATCTGCGTTCCGTCCTCTGCGAGCGTCGGGACGTACAGGGGACGGAACGGCGGGAAATTTGAAAATGACAAAAAGTGACATTTACAAAAATCACTAAAATCACATAGTAAAACATTACTGTACCAAACCATCTCACATACATTTTGTCCCTAGTGCTTTGTCCTGTGCCCGGCTTTCATTTTTACTGTATTTTCTACCTGGAAACTGACAAAAGTCCATGGCGTCCAAAAAGCGTCCCTATAGGCCAAAAGTGGTTTTAGACCAGCTAGAGAACAGCAATAGAAAATTAGAACTACTTGTAGAATTGAGTGATAATGATTCGTGGGGAAATTCGTCATCAGACACTGAAAACGATTTTGCGACTTTCCTCAGTGATGTGCGAACTTGGCGCTATATTTCAAATTTCAGTGTTTTTGGTTTGATTATATTATTAAATTAAATTTATTATTATTATATTATTATTTTTTATGATTATTTATTACAATATAATTTATGATTTCGTGTTTCAAGTTTTATCCTACCCGGGATGTTTACTAGACTCTTGTTGGACAGATTTCAGTGAGTTATTCCTAAGAATTACAGGCCTACAATATAAAACGCCAAATTTCCATGCAAAATAATAATCGGAAATAATCATACCGTCAGGGAGGTTAAAGGTTAAAATTAATTTCATAATTAAAATTGATTTAAACCCAATAAAGGGGCCGCGGCCTAAACTTTTCCACAATCCTTGTTTTATGTTTATTTTATTATTTAGGTATGTTTTTGATATGATGGGTGTTGATGGGGTGTACAATCCCAAAGATTTAAACAGATTTACATATTGGGTATGATTATTGAATGAAAGCAAACAGGAGGATACTACCTTAAAGCAGACCTTGGGGAACACATCATTAGAGAAATATCCATTTATGGTATTTGTATTTAGATATAAATCCAGTCTGTTTTTTGTTTTTCAGCCTTCAAGAACCACATCCTGTGTGCAAAGGTTACAATGAAAAACCCTACATGTTGGCAGAAATTACATTTCTTTCTGCTAGAGCTGCAAGAAGTATCCTTGTGTCCTTTATGCTGACCTTGAATGAACTACTTTCCATTGATTTGTCTACATAGACCTTGTATAAATTTATACAAGGTGATCATATTATCATATCATATCAGATACATTATATACAGTATTTCTTTTATAATCCCATATTTAATTCTAGGACATCTTTGTAAAATGGTCACCGAAACTGAATACAAAATTTCTGGAGGAGGTCTTTATATGGGTCTTTTTAATGCTTTAGAAGTGAAAAATTCTCAGTTCTCTATATCATATAATTTTTTGTAAGTAGTTGTTAAGGCTGAAGGTTTTTTATCTTCATGTATTCTATGCATGAAGGTAAAATACCTTTTGTGTTCAGCAGTGCACCTAGCCTTTCTAAAACTCCCCTGAGCTTCAAACCAATCCAGCAATGTGCACAAGAACCTTGGCTCTCCTGGGTCTCTCCCTCCTAATTGGCTGATACAGCAATGATAGCTATTGGCTCCCGATACTGTCTATCACAGACAGTGAACCTGAGCAGATGAAAGAAAGTGGGAGCTTGGCTGAGCCACAGTCTGTGTGTGAATGGACACACGGGCATTGGCTTGGTAGACTCTATAGCAAGCTGTTTGCTCTGGGGGCACTAGGCAGGAGGGAGGGACCTGGAGCATCGGTGGGGGGGGGCCCGAGAAGAGGAAGATCAGGGCTTCTCTGTGCAAAACTACTGCAAAGAGCAGATAAGTATGACAAAAAAAAACAAAAACAAGCCTTTATTATGACTAACCACTTCCCGCCCGTCCGCAATGTACTGTGGACGGTCAGCAGCTACAGGCAAAGTGACGTACGCGACACAGCGCTCCCCATCCGTGACTGCTGTGTCCAGCAGACACAGCGGAATGACGATCACTGGTGAATGGGACTCAATGATCATGTGATCACATGATCACAATGTTAGCAAAGCAGCTATGAATCAATCTGATTTATAACAGCTCTGCTTCTCTTCCTAGTGAGCTGTGATTAGCCCACCGCTGTCACATGATACATGTTTTCAATCACAGCACCCTGTACCTTCTGGCCAGCTCCAGCCAATCACTATCTTGAGCTGTCAAAAACTAATTCATGATAGCAAGCTTTGCATTGAAATGAAAGTGTAAACAAGAAAAAACCCTGATCACCCCCCCCCCCCCCCCACAGTAGTACAATGTTAAAAAAAAATTACCATATTGAGAATTTTTTTTAAAAAAGCACTTCATTTTACACGCACACATTCATTTAGCACGTTTAGCCCTTTGTTCGCCCCTATTAACCCTTTGATCGCCCCATCACCTAGCCAGTGCCATTAATACAGTGTCAGTACATAGAATTTTTCACTGATCACTGTATTCCTGCTGCTCGCAACATCAGATAGCGTCAGGGTCAGTAAGCACCCCTCCCAGCCAGGGTCAGTTGACGCACTCATGCTATCGATATTAAAAATGTATGTACAGTACTTTGTCGTCATTGCACGGGCATACACAATTTTAAAGCATGTCATGTTTGGTATCTATTTACTTGGCGTAACATCATCTTTTATATTTTATCAAACAATTTGGCAATATAATGTGTTTATGTGCATTAAAATTCTAAAAAGTGTATTTTTCCCAAAAGATTTGCTTTTGAAAAATCGCTGCGCAAATACTGTGTGACATAAAAAATTTAAACACTCACCATTTTACTCTATAAGACCTCTGCTTTAAAAAAATATATAATGTTGGGGTTCAAAGTAATTTTCAGGCAAAAAAAAACCCTGTTTTTTCGTGTGAACAAAAAGTGTTAGAAAAGGAAGAAAAGAAAAATGTTGGCCCTGAAATGCCAGGATAGTAGAGGCAACCCCTCCAAATGACCCCTTTGTAGCTAGGCTGTCAAAAAATCTCTCACATGTGGTATCGCCAAATTCCACATATACCCATGGCATGCATGAGCAATATATCATTTAAGTGACAACTTTGGGTAAAAAAAAGTGTCATTTTCAAACAATTTGTGGCAAAAAATAAAATGTTCCATGGACTCAACATGCCTCTCTGCAAAATCCTGTATTGGGTTTTTTTTTTTTACAAAAGACATGTAGCAGAACACATTTTGGCCTAAATTTATGACTAACTTTGAATTTATTAGATATTTTTTATAAACAAAAATGAAAAATATCGTTTTTTTTTTTTCAAAATGTTTTTGTTTATAGTGCAAAAAGTAAAAATTGAAGAGGTGATCAAATACCACCAAAAGAATGCTCAATTTGTGTGAAAAAAGGACATAAATGTTGTTTGGGTACAACATTGCACGACCACGCAATTACCAGTTGAAATACCACAGTGCCAAACAGTAAAAAATGGCCTGGTCATGAAGGGGGGGGTAAATCTTCCGGAAGGCAAATGATTAAGGCAAAAAGTATCTTGCTAGCTTTAGAAGTTGCAGATTGGCACTGTATACAGTTAGTTACATACAATTTTATCCACAGCTACACATCCATAATTTTGGCTTACCTCTTCACTAAAAAGCTATATTTTTTTGATTTTTTTTTTTTACAAAATATTTATTTCATAAATCCATGATAGCTATTACCAATAATTGTTTTTCTATCACATACTCTTGTAATCACCTAGTAACCCCTTAAGTATTTTCTTCTAGATGTGTTGAGTGAAGACCTTGATTCCTTTTTAAAAATAGGTACCACTTTTTCTTTACTTGAAGTGGTTTTAAAGTCTCAAAATTTTTTTACCAAAAACGCATTCTTTACAATAACTTAACAAATGCCCCAGTACTTGTATCGTCCCATCACCCTTCCCCCTGTATACCTACCTGAGTTATAACTTGATCCAGCAATGTACCCATCTGTAGTGGGTCTCTCTTCTCTCTCTGTTCACAGAGGCAGCAGCAGGAGCCATTGGCTCCAGCTACTGTCAACCAAATCCTGTGAGCAGATAGTGGGGAGCGGGGACAGGGCTGAGCCATCCTGTGTGTGTTAGCAGACGCACACAGCCCGGCTCAGGATCAAGCCGGCAGCTGCGTCCCATTGAAAGCTGCTCCCTATGGTGGCGCACTGAGAAGAAGAACCTGAAGTGCTGACAGGGGATCCCGGAAGAAGACTGGGGTCTCCCTGTGCAGGTAAGTATACCATGTTTGTTATTTTCCAAAAAAAGCTTTCACAAATGCTTTAAATCCTTTGAAAGCCTTGCTAGTCATTGAAGAGGATCCTAATTGAATTAATCATTAAACTTGTGCCTTTGAGGACTTGAGTATGTAAAACATTTTAATGCATGTCATTTAATTACAAATATTTTGTCTAATTGTTTCTGAACCCTTCCAACATTAATCCACTGCGCCACATTCAAAATTGTGTGAATACCATCCTTATTTCATACCATTGTCTTTTTGTACATTCATACATTCACAATGTTTCTACTAACAAGCTCTTTGTTCCTGTTTTACAAGGCCTACATACTCAGATCGTGTAATTTGTTATATTGAATGTTTTGTTTCCAGTCTGACAGGTCTTTGTTTTTAAAGCATAAAAGTGTACATTTAGGGCTCATGTACACTGCAGCTGCTAAACTGAAGTTTAGGAACAGTTGAGCATTTTTTTCAGCAGCCCCTGAACTCTCCTTTATGTTTTCCTATGTGTCCATGTACACATAGTCGTTTACAGTAGTTTATAGGCAGTTGAGGTTACAGGCATTTTTTTGAAAGCACAAAAATCGCTTTCAGGAGTAGAGTTTACCATCATTTCAAACGCTTGTAACTGAGTGTAAACACGTTTAACCACTTCCAGTCCGGACACTTTTACCCCCTTCCTGACCAGGGCAATTTTCAGCTTTCAGCGCTATCACACTTTGAATGACAATTGCGCGGTCATGCAACACTGTACCCAAATACATTTTTTACCATTTTTTTGACACAGATAAAGCTTTATTTTGGTGGTATTTATTCACCGCTGGGATTTTTATTTTTTTTGCTATGTAAATGAAAATGTCCAAAAATTTTGAAAAAAGTGTTTTTTTTTTTTGATAAAATTTTGCAA